GTTGAATGTGAGAAGAAGAGATAGATGTTTTCAATTATCTTGTTTAGCGGCAATAACTTCTACTAAATTTACATTTACAAATAATGATTTATGATTTTTTTTCATCATTCTTTGTTGAACTCCAAATGTGTGACCTGCCACCACCAATTAAACATGAAACGATTTCTAAATAATGCTTAATAACAAAGTTAAAATTTGATCTTCAACTGTTAATATCTTCTAGAAATTTTCGAGAAAAAAATTTTTACTACTTCCCAAGTGAGCCTCTATCTCCCCTTGAAAGGAATGACGCCAATTTTGAATCATTCTGTATGTGTAAGAAGACGCCGCAAAATGCCCAGATAATTGGCTAGAGATGTTGATCTTTCCGAAGAAAGTGAAATTTCTCACGTTACGAAAAGCGTTCTTGATCGTATCCAATAAGAAATATGTACCCGATTTACACGATTAGGTGACCTTAATTTCATATTTGGATTTATACTAGACGTTGAAAATTTACTAAACAAGTATAATGTCGATATATCGATAGTGACCTTGAAAAAAAGTGTAAAAATGTGGGTGAATTAAATAAAACACATTTCAATGGAATAGATCTCTTTGACAGAACTTTGAAATATGTGATAAACTCCGCAGTAGGAAAGAAATTGAACCTAAAATTCCATTACAATTTCTTACTTTTATAATCTCATATGGAGATGTTTTTCCAAACCTGAGAGTGGCACTTCAAATACTCCTGACAATCTCAGTATCAGTTGCTAGCTGCGAACGTTCATTCAGCAAATTAAAATTAATTTTGACATAGATCAACGATGGGACAAGATCGAATATGTGACTTAGCATTTTTAAGTGTGGATAGAGAAAAATCTGAAATGATCAACTTTGATGATATTATTATTTATTTTTATTATAATTATAAATTTGCATCATCATAAGCAAGAAAAATTTAGACATGTTTTCTTAATGTATCATAATCATATTATTATTAAATATATGCATCTCCTTAGAGATACTAAATCTTTACTTTTTTTTTGTTTTAAACTGCGTGTTTTTAAATATTTCTTCCTAAATATGTAAAATAAATAATAAGTATCTTTTGAACTAATTCTAGATGATCATATACATTCCAAAATCTAGTCTTGTTTTTTCAACTACATTTTTTGCCTAAAATTGAAGGGATATGCTGAGCCTATTACTTAATTTATTTTATATTTTACATATAATATTATAAAGTTTTTGGGGGGCGCTAAAGGGGGGTGGAGCAATATCACATTGTTTGAATTATTGCCCACATTTGCCAATAATTCAAACAAATATAAGGTTTTGAAGACAGCCAAGCCTATAATGGGTTGAATAGAAATGTAACTTGCACCATTTTTTTAGGTCAAAGCTTAAATCATTGATTTACCAAATTTTGTGTTAATTATAAAACCGACAATAACACTTTACATTTATAATAAATATAATAGCAACGTTTCCCATAATTTCTTTCCTTTGAAGTAATTTCATATTTTCAACTCAGTTGCCATACGGATAAATGAGCAGGTAATGTACTAGAATCGACAGCCCCGAACAGCCATTACAATGATTGACAATATTGATAATAATGTATTACGTGTTGACTATCTTTAATTGCAAATATTGTAAATATTACAAACAAAGGAAAATAGCTTCACATTCGACAATATATTAAAAATGCTAACAAAAAATTATATTTACTTGGACAGGTTTGCGTTATATTAACCGTTGTAATAAGGACATTTTCTAAATTTTCCACAAATTCAAATGAAGTAGCAGAAGTTACTATAAGCAATGTTATTATGTAATAAAAACAATATTTGTAATAAGTGTTCTAAGCTAGATAAAAATTTCAGACTTTTATCAATAGATAGTCCGGCATCTGATTTTAGTTAGCCTTGGTTCACATTGCAACCAGTACAATTCTCGTTTTCATCTAAAAAATTTAATCTTCAAGATGTCGTTTAGCACAAAAACAAACTTTATAATTATACCCATATCTCAACTATCATTAAATATGAGATCGCAAATTGCAAAATAAAATTTCTGTAAATCATTAGAGGTATAAATGAAACCGAACTCAAGTATTTAAAAATATAATTGACGACTCGATATATTTTAACTCCTTTTAATTAATTTGATAATTTTAAGCAATGTTTTTCGAATGAGTGGAAAGAAATGAGTAAGAGGTCATAATCACTGCTAAACAAATAAAATAATTCTACTAGAGGAATATGTAATAATGTGAATTAATTTAAAATTCAGCGAACTCTTTTTTGAAAAATAGCTCAAACTCGTCAATTTTAAATTGTAAATGCGACATTTTTATATTAACTTAGTTTACACAGAGGAGTCCAAAAGTTGCGACCATCAGTTATTTCTTTTCAAGGAATCGCTTGCTTTTTATTTACATTTTGAATTCTCCATTGAATTATAAGGATTCAGGTACCATGCGTTATATTTAAATACAACAGGAGTCAATAAATTGACGAGGTAAAAAATGTCTTTGCCAAGATAACAAGATATAAGAAGAATTTATTGATTGTCTTGGATATTGTCAAACCGCATGCCATTAAATAGTGCAAATCACTGTCGCTATCAACGCAATTAATAGCCTCTTATTTCCATGCAGCGTATGAAACTTTGTGATTTAGCTAATTGACTAATTTATATTTATAATTTTACTGAATGGAAGAAGATAATTTTATAATATAAAGCGTGTTTGAAAAGGAAAAGAATATAAGAAGGTTTAATAAAATCTGGTTTTCTGAAGCAGAGTAGTCAATTATCTATTGATTTATAATATACTATACATAATATTATTATTGCATAGGTGTGTCGGACTTCCATTGCTAGATCGTCTAATTTTGACGTTTAATAGTTTCAGTCATCTGTGACTTCCGGTAACTCGACAGCAAAAAGTCCATAGGTGTAACATCGCAAGGGCGTGGCGTCTACCTAATGGGGAAATAGCCGACTGAATGATTCGCACTGACAATGTCAACTTATCAGTGGAATAATCTAGGGCCGTCACAAATTAGCCTTGTGACGTAATAACAAACGATCAAGTGGATTTTTCCAATGGTGAATTTAATATTATCCGTGCTGAGCTTTAATAAAAACTGCAACGACAAAAACACCAACAATATTTGATTAAAAACCCGTTTAATCACTAAATAAGATCGTATACCTACGAATACAATTTTCTAAATCTACAAATGTTTCCTAAATCTAATTTACAAAGATAAACTTACCTTTAGCTTAAAACTAAGAATATAAATTATAAAAAGTGAACCAAAAAGTCTTGTTAGTTCTATTTTTGAACTATTTTTTAATGAAAACAAAAGGTGTTAAAATGAGTGTGCATCAGTGTCTAGTATTCACTGAGTGTTCCAAAACAACGGTATTGAAACCAATTGTACATTTAATTACAAATAAACACTACCGCCAGCTATTGACGGTGAAACGTTGTCTTCAAAG